TGCAAACTTGCTGAGAGTGCAGTCCACACCATCCTCCAGATCATTAATAAAGATATTAAACAAAACCGGCCCCAGGACCTATCGGTGGGTAGCAATCGATTTATCCGGGATCGATATATCACGTCTCGTTAAGACGCGATATATCGATCCCCGAACGCGCTCACCGTCGACTCCGGAACTCCACCAGAGCGAGCGGCGGTAGCGCAGTCGACGGGGGAGCCCCGGCCATCGATCCCATGCCGTCTGGACCCCAGGTAATTCGATCCAAGATACTTCGACTTCAGCTACGCTATTCTAAGATCTTTTTCTTGAATGGTAACAGCTAATTTAGACCCCATCTTTTTGTATCTATGGTTAGGATTATTTTTTCCAATGTGCATTACTTTATCAATGTGGTGGGCTTCTTTGGTATTCCCCCCCCCCCCACATGGATGTTAAGTTTAATTGTGGTTGGTATAACCGAGTGTTTTAACTATGCTCATCTCTTGGACTAGATCCTGTATTCCACTTAGGACTAAATCAGGAATAACCTCTCTTCGTATGAGTTCCAGGACAAGCTGCTCCATGAAGCAGTCATTTAATGTGTTTAAAAATGTTATATCTGCACCCCTTCCTGAAGTGACACAGATCCAGTAAATATTAGGATAGTTGAAATCCCCCATTACTATTGTGTTTTCTACCTTTTAATCCCTCTGAGCATTTCACAGTCACCATTGCTATCCTGGTCAGGTGGTTGGTAGTATATTTCTACTGCTAGACTCTTATTGTTGAAGTGTGGAATTTCAATCCCTATAGAGATTCTATAGTACAGTTTGCTTTTATTTAAAATGTGTACCTTATTTGACTCTAGGCTTTCTTTCAAATGTAGTGCCACTCCCACAGCAGTGCAACCTATCTATCATTCCTATATATTTTGTACCCTAGTATTACCATGTCCCATTGATCATCCTCATGATGCCTATTATAGCAATATCCTCACTTAATGCTAGTTAACGAATATTAGTATTTAGATTTCTAGCCTGTTTATAATAAGCACTTGTACATTTTTGTCAATATTTAGTTGCTTGCCTTCATGTGTTCTTTTTAAATGTGATTCTTTTATGTTTGACTGTTTCTCACTAGCTCCTACCTGTACTTTACCAACTACTTTCCTATCCCTTTATTAGGATATAGATTTCCTCCTTTAATAAATTCATCCCTATGGATGTATCCACCTGAACCATGTGCTCTTCCACACCTGTTCACTTTCCCTCAGCCCTTAGTTTAAAAAGTTCTCTGCAGTATGGTTCCATTTTGGTTTAGGTGGATCCCATCCTTTCTGTATAGGCTCCTCCCTTCCAAAAAGGTTTCTCAGTTCCTAATAAACCTAAAACCCTCCTACTTACAGCATTGTTTCAGCCACACATTGAGACCCTGCAGTTCTGCCTGTCTTCCTGGCTCTGCATGTAGAACTGGAAGCAGTTCAGAGAATGCGATCATGGAGGTCCTGGACTTTAATCTCTTATGTAGCAGCCTCTCTCCTACCTTTTTCTGTCACTGGTACCTTCATGTACTACCAGTTCCTTCCCAGCACTGCACATAAGTCTGTTTTAGGCCTTGCTACACTTGCAAGTTAGAGCGCATTAAATCAGCTCTGGGTGCCCTAACACCTGAGGTGTCCACACTGGCAAGGCACGTAGAGAACCTGGACTCCGCGGCTGGAGCGCCCATGGTAATCCATCTCCACTAGAAGCATAAAGCTTGCTGCGCCCCGTCTGGAGCGCCGCGGTGCCAGTGTGGATGCCCTGGTCTATTAATACGTTCCGATCGGCCTCCAGAAGTGTTCCACAATACCTGTTCTAGCCACTCTGGTCATCACTTTGAACTCTACTGCCCTGCCCTCAGGTGACCAACCGTCAGACTCCTTAAATTCTCTGGGAATTTTGAAATTCCCCTTCCTCTTTGCTCAGCAAGGCACGTAGTGCTCTCAGCGCATCTTTCCAGGTGACCATGCCTCCACGTGCCAGGCGATCCCCAGTATGGAGCAATGGCAAGGTGCTGGACCTCATCAGTGTTTGGGGGGAGGAAGCTGTCCAGTCCCAGCTGTACTCCAGCCGTAGGAATTACAATACCTATGGGCAGATATCAAGGGACATGATAGAAAGGGGCCATGACCGGGATGCACTGCAGTGCATGGTTAAAGTGAAGGAGCTGCGCATAAAGCCTACCACAAAGTGCAGGAGGCAAACAACCACACCGGTGCTGCCCCCACGACTTCCCATTTCTACAAAGAGCTGGAAGCGATACTTGGGGGTGACCCCACCTCCACTCCGAAGAGCGCCATGGACACTTCAGAGACTGTAGCAGCCCAGCGTTCAACAAGGCAGGAGGAGGAAAGCGAGAGCGAGGGTGCTGAGGAGGAGCGGGGCCCAAAGCCAGACGGCGGCCCGGTATCCCTAGATGCATGCAGCCAGGAGCTGTTTTCAAGCCAGGAGGAAGGTAGCCAGTCGCAGCGGATGGTGCTTGGGGGAACAACAAACAGCAGAGGAGGTACCCGGTAAGTGGCTTCTATTTTGGAAAGGTAGTTGTTTGGTGCGGGCTCTTGGGGCGAGGAGGGTTGCAGAAAGAAGGGTTAGGGCTGCATGCATGCATGCCTAGATGCAGAATAGGGTGTTGATGTGCTCTCACATCGCGGTAATCAGCCTCAGTGATCTCATCGAAGGTCTCATGCAGAAGCTGGGCAATCCGCTTTTGCAGATTCCTTGGCAGAGCTACTGTGCTCCTTGCCCCAGTAAGGCTAACACATCTGCGCCACTGTGCCATGAGGGGTGGGGGGGACCATTGCTGCACACAGGTAAGCGGTATATGGGCCAGGGTGTAAGCCGCAGTGTAGTAGAAGACCCTCCCTTGCTTCCCAGGTCACCCTCAGCAGCGAGATATCTTCCAGGACTAACTCATCCTGTGGAAAATGTGGGGACAGTGTTCTGTATAGGGGCCCCCTGCAGCTGTTGGCTCTCCCCAAGGCACAGA